CCCCAAAACCCCAAAACCCCAAAACCCCAAAACCCCAAATAAATATATAATTAAAAATGTTTCCAACACTGGCAACTTCAGCCACCTCTCGCAATTACAGACTTGGTAGCAATGCAAGTGGGCTTAAGACTGCAAGGAATTTGACTCGCAGCAAGAATACTCTTAAGACTGGATTTACCAAAACATTCTATGGGCTTGATTTCTGTATGTCAAGATTTAGTTTTTTACTTTAGAATTATAATTTTAATCGTTTGTATAGTAAAATCCTCAAGAAATCGATCAGTCAAAAAATTAAAGTCAGTTAAAAGTGTTGAGAAGATTCATAAACATGTTATTAAAAGACTTAAATAACTCCAAACTCCGAATAGACAAAAGAATGAAAAGAGTTATAGTCAGGAAAAAGTTCAAAGAATGTGCTATCAAGATCCAGGCTTCATGGAGAAGGTATAAAACCCAAAAGTACTTTAAGAACTGGAGAAGAAGATATCTTAGTCTTGTCAGGTTTCTTCAACTTAAATTCAGAAAAAGACTTAGAAAATAAAGAAAATGGTATATTCTGTGAGATTATTTATAGCTCTAAAACTTATAATCCAGTTTCTGAAAACTTGCTCTCAGAAATAGCAGGCAAACTCGAGTTGATAGTACAAAAACTTTATTTGCAAAGCAAGCTCTTTTTATTTTCAATGAAAAAGTTAAAACAAAGAAACCTATATTCACTACAAAGAGGAGAATCGAAAAATATGGATCAGGTCCCTACGATTTAAGGAATAAGTATCAAAAACATAATCATTCAAAAGAACAGCGTAAGTTTAAACCTTCAATACTGCCACCCAAGCACAAAATTCCTGAGGCTAAACGTCTCTGTGAGAATGATAGTTCATCAAGCTCAAATTCACACCTCTCAGACCTCAATGATGTGTCAATTCCTTCCCAAATATCTGAAGTTGAGCCTCTCGAACAGTTTGACATTCAAGACTTCATCAGACAAGTCAGAAACAAATACAGAATCTTGAACCACCAAAGCATCGAAGAGCGAACTGCAGCTGAGCAAGAAGACCCCACTGTGTACCCCACCTATGCAAGGCTGAACGAACTAAGAAGGATCCGAGAACAGAACGCTTCCAAAGCAGTAGGACCACACTCTAAAGACGTGTTGAAGGCCAACAATGACAAGTTCGACCAGTTCTTGAAGAAAATGATTCAAGAGAACCTTGAGATGAGCTACCCTGAGAACTACGAAGGCATTTACTTCAAGACTCATGAAGAATACGTGAAGTTCATGAAGAGCAAATACACCACCAAAGTTGATGCCATTGACTTAGATGCAATGTACACAAAGCTAGGAGCAACCTACCCGCGATACTACAGAAAGACTAGCTCCAACCTGATTAAGTCGCTCGGAGCGACCACTGCTGAAGAGAAAGGCTTCGCTAAGTACAAGCTTGCACACAAAGAGCAAAACTATCTTGACCAGGAAATTGACTTGTATGAATATGTTGTAGAAAACAGGCTTAAAGGGGCTGCAAAATCCGCACCAGAAGATATGCCGACAGCATTTCAGAAATAGCGAGAAAGAACGCAGCATCACATGGAAAGAACTAACATCTCTGAAGCAGTCGGTGGCGCATTTCTTGCAGACACAAGCTAACAGGCCTAATGGAGATCGGAACTATGATACTAAGGATTACAACGAGCCAGATCCCCGAACTGCATACGACCTCAAGCAGCCAAAATTTTATAAGGAAGAGCCGCAATCTTCTCGAACTTTGATTAAGAAATTGCAAATGGTGACCAATGTTCTAAGAGGAATCACTCCTGAAAATCCTACCATACTATCTAAAATATATAGCTAAAATCCACAATTCAATTTTTTTATCATATATTGGGGTTTTGGGGTTTTGGGGTTTTGGGGTTTTGGGG